TCTACATAAAAATACAAAATAACAAAAAAAAAAAAAAAAAAACAGCGATTTGTTAAAATGCATATTTTGAAAACGCTGGTAACTCCGAAACGATAAATAAAAATATCGATATGCGTGGTTTTCACCATCATGTTTTTGACAAAAAATTGAGCTCCAGACACCGATATTATTTTTAGTTCATCTCCTATAAAAGAGTGTTTCCATTTGAAGTCGTCGAATTTGACCCACCCTGTACTACATGGGCTACCGTAGAATGTTATTAACTTAAATGGTGGCCATCTTGATTGGTTACTTTGGCACTTTAATAACGTCTATGTGGTTGTGTTATTCAGTGAGGCTTTATTTTCATTAGAAGTGGTAAGCTCTTTTTCTGGCCATTTTAAATATTTTAAATAAAAGTCCCATCGTATTGTAGTTAATTAGTTGTGTTGTCAACCTAAATCTGCGGAGATCTCTGGTGCCGGTATTCATTAAAACAGCAGTTTCCAAATATGTTTCAGAAGATAAAACAAAAAGAAGCTACATAGTAACAAGTCGAGGTATGAAACTGATTATGGTAAATTCCAATGTTACTTAATATTTGGCATTTTAATTATTTTGATATACGTCGCCTTTAGAACCGGAACAAGATGCTGAGACCTGCCTTCAAGAACTCAAATTCGACAATTTAAAATCGGACCCACTTGATGCAACTTAGAAAGCCTGTTGCAAATTTGTCAAGCCGTTATCAAGTCTAACGATAAAGCTACGCAATGAAGAATGGTCTCTTTATGGAACTCCCATATCAACTGGTAAAACTAATTTTTCTCTTATTATAATTTACCCTAAAATTAATAATAACATTTCTATACTCTCCGTCGATTCGATTTTTTTTTAATTCTTAACTTGTATATGCTATATCAAGTTTGAATAAATTATTATTAGTTTATTGCACTTGTTTTTATTGCCCTAATGGAAAAATTTACTGTATTCCGGGAACTTCGGCAGAATATTCTGCAGATAAAAATAAGTAAAAAAGTTCGTATAAATGTATGTCCTAAAATGCTTAGTTTCAGAGATATCGCAAACGTGGTAAACAAAATCCCGACCAAACCGAACGTGCAATAACGCGAATTTTCTTTGAAAAATTGTTCTGAAGATTATGTCATTGTATTAAAATTAAATAATTTGGTTAATTTGGGAAGCCCACATTAGCGCTTCGGCGAGAAGTTGAAGAAACATTTCGACCTTCAATTTGTGACACAAAATTATAACCTATAATTTGGCAAGACTTTGACAATCCTCAAAAATCTAAAGGCGAGTTCATACGCATCGGTGTCTGTTGTCGTTCATCGTTCCGTCAAACCAATAAAATTAAAATATGATCTGTCATTTTTGAAATAAATCAATAAAACTAGTTAAAAACAACAAGAGACGACGTATGACGGATTTATATTTAAACCCGTCCATAGTTAACTTTTTTTAGTAAAATAAATAGATTGGTATGGGGTGTCATCTGTTTTTTTTTTCTGTCAGCGTCTGTCGAAATCTTACCTGAGAAAAAAAAAGTATAGCAGTGTTTCCGACTCAGGACGACTTTTTGTTATTGAAAAAAAGACCTTTTTTCTATTAAAGCTAAAATCCTTTTATAAAATTAAAGCAAAATTTCATAATAAAGTTCATACAAGGGTTGAGACAAGTCAAAGGACCCCGAAGAATAAACAGAAGAAAATACTAGATTTTAGAAATTCTTCGCTTTTTATCCTTTCTCTTATTTAATAAAGCGAGCGAAAGGACAAAGGAACAACTCGCGCAGTCGGATTTAAACAACAAAGGAGTCAATTAGAATGCAGAAAGGATAAAATCCTTTTGTAAACAAAACGGAACAATTAATAATGAAAACCGTAGTATAATGTGCTTACAGTTAGAGGTATTAAGATATTAACTGGTTGTTAAACTAAAAGAAGTGTGAAAATTAAAATAATCTGTATGTAAGTGTATATGTATACTCTATGATTCACGAAATATGGCGATTGCGTTAGAATATGTTCATTCGGAAGAAATATATTGAAACGATATTTAAACTACAATTTTTTGTAGTTTAAATAAGAACAGGAACCGGAGCATGTTCAAGAACAGGAACCGGAGCATGTTTGAAGTAGACTAAAAATCAGTTTATACAGAGTTGTTCACCACATACGACACGGAGTATTGTAGCTAAACGATTAGATTTTTACAAATTGTAAATTTTGGATTCGTTGAAGGACTATTAGAGCTACAATTTAAAAATATTTTTACAAGATACAGAGTGTCCCAAATAAATAAAAAATATCAAAGTTTTTTTTAAATGGACCTTACCGTTTTTGAAATATTTTCAATTTTATGAAATTGCGGTAAAAATTTTAAGGCTCCATTTCTCCAAGCGTATCAAAGTTATTAATACCAAATATCTACTGAAGTTTAATTATTGATCAGTTATTGTGTTGCAATAATAAAAATAATACGACCTCATACAGAATGTCTAAAAATTTATTTTAAATAAATGCTTGCTTTTAACGGCAATAACTTGTTTAATTTAAATGGAACGCTCTGTATATTTTAGGACAATCAGATGCACAATTTAATTGTCTATCAAATTATATCATGCTATTTTTTACTTATCCCTTCAAATTTTCGTAGGAAATGCATTTTCTCATAATTTAGACCTCATTTATCAATATACCCATGGAATATTGACATTTTAGATTGTTTTCAAAGCAACAAAAAATGTACAGAATGTACAGGTGCTAAAAACGATAATATTACTAGCCCGTTTGTATACAAAAAAATCTATTTAAATCTTTATAAAAAAGTATACCATTAATTAAATATACCAACATCCGTCCAAGTATTAATTAATTACATACTTAATTGTGTTAGTTAATAAATTATTCTAAATAAATGTGTAATTGAATAAGAAATCAATATAATAATAAGTTATGAAAATGAACGTCTCTATTGTTATAAATAAACATTCGTCAAAAAATGAAATAAAATTTTTAAGGTGTTACTTTTTACCACACTGTCTAAACAGATACAAAATTCAGTTTTTTATTATTTGGAGCAATTATTATTAATCAACGTAAACAGTCAATTAATGTAGTTTGATTACTGGAATCATATTAATTAGTCTTCATTACCAAATATTTAAACATTTTTGTTTATTTTTTAATGAAATATATAAACGAACTATACCGACAATATTAGCATATGTACCACGATGCTAATCTTTTCAGTAATTCGAATTTTTATATTTCATTAAAAACAAACAAATAAAAAATGTTTATTTTTTTTTTTTTTGGTTTTTTGTTTAAAACCACTTAAAAAATAACACCTTAAAAGACATTTCACGAATGTTGTTCGTTCATTTTTCATAACGACAATATACGGCAATTTCATGTTAGAATAATTAACTCTTCGTTCGGTGTATTGCTCGCAACAACGTACCCCATGGCAGAAGACCTACTGGACGACCACCTAAACTTTGGCAAGACAGTTGGCAGTCAACCTTGCAAGAGTTGCTTAGACGAGGAGGAAACCGGAACTAAACAGGCGATACGCCTTCTAAAAGAAGAAGAAGAAGAAGAAGAAGAAATTGTTTGTTATACAGTTGGCCAAAAGATATAAACTTCTTCAACTTTGTTGACGACCCTGGGTTGTTACACTACACTGAGAAATGTGGCAACGCCGCAACAACATATTGTCGCATTTTTCTCACTCCGACTTAATCCCTAAGCGATTCACTTCAACACATGTAAATACTGAGCCGACCAGAAAGGTATATCAAAATAGTATCTTTTGCCTTTTTTAGTCTCTTTATTCTATGAACCAACCACTAGAGGTTTAAACATCCTTATCAAAAACGTTACCTAGTAGATTATTCTCTCTATCCTCATCCTTTATGCCATAACGGGCTTCACAAAAAAAAGAAAAACAGTTTTTTAACGGTTTTTACCGACATAAAATTGTTAAATCGGAATATAGCCAACCCTCCGTGCGGCGTAAATTTAGCAGCAGCTTCGCGGGACCGATGTCCATGAATAATTTTAATTAAGCACGTCCGGGAGCATGCCCAGGCATAACGAGGTCCGGCCGCTAATTTACGACCAGACTACAATTGCGAACAAGGGAGAAAAACGGCGAGGGAAAGACCTCACAAGGTTAAGAACGTGCCGAAGAGGAGATATAACTCCAGTTTTCATAAAACGCGTTGTCTTGGATGACTGGTAGGTATATCTCGAAGGATCAAATACGTTTTTTTATTATTGCGTATTTTGTGCAATCTATCAGAATCTATGAACTAAGAACTACGTTTTTCTACTTACCAACAAAAGATATGAAATATGTTTGTTATAATTTACTTTTTTCCACAGCAACTGTTAAAATTGCCTAATATCTATCAAAATAGTAGATAAAATAGTACTTTAACCGAAAGGGTAGATTAAATGATACTTTAACAGCGAGGATAGGATAAAAACTTTATTTCTTCTTTCATGTTTTTTAACTGTTTCCATTTTTTGAAAATTTTTGTATTTCTTTTCATAAGTTATTCGGAATTATTAGTAGTTTGGATATGGCGTCTGTCGCCTCACCCTGAATATCTGTTCGTAATTTACTTATTTCGTTTTGAGCCATTTCTGGCTCCAATTCAATCAGCGATCGACACGAAAAAGAATTAAAAAATATTGACTAAAAAACATAGACAAACAAATAAAAAGAGACTGACAAATCTCATGGTAAAGAGTGGGACCGCGTTCCCGTAGCGCAACTCAGAATAACAATTTTGAAACCAATTAGCAGGACCATGGCAGGACGTACGTCTTTATTGCTATCTTTCTTTATTATGTGTGCTTTATATGAAAAAGAAAGTGATAGGTATAAAACGTATCGTAAGACATTAGGGGTTTTCGGAATTAATAATCCTAGATTGGATAGATCCCGTCAGCTGATTACAGATTACTTCTTAACTTGTGATCAGCTGTTTGACATTTACGAACGCTTAGATCCAACTTGGGTCAATCATCAGATAAACCGAGATAAACTTTTAAATTGTGACTTCTAAAAAGTGTTAAAAGCTTTGTCTGGTCTCCGGTCTTGTTTATGCAAGTGGTTTTCTTTGAATTCATATTTTTTCGGTTTTCTTCAAAAAGTAAAAATGGATAAAATGTTACTGCTTTTTATTCAAGACCAAATTTTTAACGATGAAGATGATGACGACGATCAAATGGTTTTGCTAACTGAGGGCCTTTTAGTCTCAAAGGAGAAAAGGCTTCGGATTTCTAATTATTATGAGGAAACCATACCAAAATACATGGACGACGGTAGGACACTCACATATAACAATTGATTTTTTACTGTTGATATCTCATTATTTTAGATTTCAAAGCTCATTTCCGCATAAAAAGGTCAACCGTAGAAGTTTTATTGTGTAGTTTGGGGCCTCATTTTACTCGGCAATCTGGGAGGCCCCAGTTACCATTAAAGAAACAATTGTTACTTTCTATCTGGTATTTAAGTAACCAGGAGGTTTTTAGGTGAGTTGAAGTTTTTAAGTACTAATGAAAAGTAGTTATTTTAGTAGTGAACCATTGTTTTTCATTTCTTTGACAACAAAGCACATAAAGTTTTTAAAATTGATTTTGTAGGTCTATTTCTGATCGTTTCGATGTATCAAAAAGCACAGCATATGAATGTATTGGCAGATTCTTAAATGCAGTAATGGCTATAGCTAATGAATTTATCAAGTGGCCTAGTCATGCAGAAGCCCAAAGAACTAGTTTACATTTCAGGGAGCAGAATGGGTTTCCTGACATAATTGGCTGCATTGATGGCAGTCATGTTCCCATTGCAAAACCTAAAAATAAGCCTGACTCATACATAAACAGAAAGGGCTACCACTCTATAATTTTACAAGGAATCTGTAATGAAAAATATGAATTTATAGATGTTTCTTGTGGTGGGTTAATAAAATATGTCTATATACATCTTTTTTTAAATAAACCTAATTTTATTTATCAAAATAAGAAGTTTTAATTATCCAGACTATTGTAGGTTTAAAACATTCAAAAAATCAACTGTTTGTTTGAAACAAATTATGTAATTATTTCTCTAGGTTGGCCAGGTAGTATGCATGACGCCAGAGTCTTGAGGAAGTCAGACTTTGGTATAAAAATGACAGAAAATCCTGCAGCATTATTTTATGGAAATTTCCATCTACTAGGGGATTCAGCTTATCCTCTTAATAATTATATTTTAACACCATTTAGGGATAATGGACACCTAAGTGCAAGGCAAAAAAAAATTAATAAAAAGTTATCATCTATCAGAATAATCATAGAACATGTTTATGGTATGCTAAAATCAAGGTTTAGAATTTTAAAGTATGTTAACAGGTATTTAACAGTGGACATACCAAAGCTTACTTTGGTGTGCTGTATACTTCATAATGTTTGTATGAAGCAGAATGACAATGTAGAATTAGAAGATAATTTAGAACCAACAGTCATTGAAGAAGACAATTATTATGGGGAAGAACAGGATCATGTAAGAGAAGCAAAAAGAAATTACATTTCTACTATTCTGTAATTCAAATTTTTTTGTTGTACTAAATTACTATAATGTATATTATTATATCTTGTATTTTTAAAATTCACTTGGTTATTTTCTTGGCAATTTAATGTTCACAAATAATAATGTGCTTTGTTAAATTTCTGTTTAAAAGTGCCTGTTTATAAAAGTAAAGGTTGTACACTATATTGGTGTGAATAATGTTTTTGATAAAAATACAGGTGCACTTATTAATATGTTTTATTTTACAGCAACATTGCAATTATTTCTTAATATAAAAATATATATACTGTTAAATAATACGCTGTTATTTATTCTTCACTCGAACATGAGAATCCCAAATAGACAAAGACTCCCCCATAGGGTATAATTTTTTTTATATAAATAATTAGTATTTTTTACTTTGACTTATTCACATATTCTCTAAATATGTCCAGAAACTGCTGCTGTTTCTCCATTCTCTCCCTATGGCGAGACTCCATTTCTGCTCTCAACTCTTTAAACCATTCAGGTTGTCCTAAAAGTTTTCTAGAATCTCCAATTTTTACCTTTTTTTTAGGGGTTTCAGATATATTTTCACTGTCTGAAGTATCCTGACTATCAGGACTTTTAATAAATCCCAAGGTATTTGATGCAATACTCATTGGGCTATTTTCCGGGTCTCGACCAAAAATTTCATTCATACTTGTAAAATATGGCCAAGTGATTTTCCCTCGACCAGTTTTACTGTTATTGTCAAGAATGGATTTATAACTCTTTTTTAGATTTTTTATTTTGCTCTCCACTTGTTCAGTTGTAAATCTTGAGAAATGTTTAGAAATTTCAGCATAGATTGACTTGCTTTTATATTTTTTGTCATTTAATTTCTCAAAATTGGTTTTAAACAGCTCTATTAATAATTTTGTTTCTTTATCTGACCAACGTGATGAAGCTAAAAACAATATGAGTATTTATTATAAATTCTCTATTGCATTAGTAATTTTTACCATTAAAATCAGTTAACATTGATGAATTTTCATAGAGAGATCCTTCTGCTGAGCTTTCCATTTCAATATAATTTAGTACATCATCTGTTTCCTCATTTAACACTGATACTGAAAATCATAGTCAAATTTAATATATCTGCATATATGATTCTGGAAAAAAATATTTAACTTCACAGAATTAAGTAAAACTGGAAATGGTACAATACTCAAGTGTTTACAGTAGTAGAAAAAAATTGAATAAGACTACCTGTGCTGTTACTTTGTTTGTTACAAAAAAAGCTACAACTAGCTTTTAGTGCTAGATTACTGTCCTGAGTCCCTTGAACTTTGTCTCTTTGACCAATGCTGCTAGTTTTTGGGTCATCGGCTTTCTCATTTAATAGAAGCTGATAGGCTAAGAGCCTATTCTTCCTTTCAATCTCTTTTTGCAAGTAGATATTAGCCAACTGATAATCTAAAAAAGATTTGGATAATTATCTACCACCGAAAATACATAGAACTACATAAAACACATTATTTTTAAACCCTTTGTTAAGAAAAGTTTTATACTTACCTCCATTTATTATTTTCTCATAATCTTCATCAGACGCTGGTATATTGTATTCCTCTCCATCTTCATCCTGAAGAGAGATAATTTTCATTTTTTTCTGCTTTATTGCTAACCGAAAATACTCTATTATCTTTGTCGGAAACACCAATTTCGGTACTAATACAAGTACTAATCCTAATATAGGAACATACAGGAAAGAACCAGAAAGGACTATAGAAAACATCAGATAGCCGCCAAAAACTACAAAATTTTCGAGGTTAGATTAAACAGCTGTTTTAGGATTTTTCTTTTACCCACTAAATTGGTAGGGTAGGAAGGATCACATCATATGATTAAAATCCGATCCATTTTTATGCATTCCGAACGATTATATCTGAAATTGGATTACATTTCGAACGTAAGGATCTCTAATCCATATGATCGAATTAACCCGATCATAGTTTCCGAAAACCCCTATTATCGCACATTCTGGCTGGCGGAAAATTTAAATTAGCCTTTATTAGTAGTATTCTTTCATTCTAAAACTGAAAATTATCACTTAAACTGATTTATTCCCTATACCACGTAAAGGGAACGTGGTGTAGGGAATAAATCAGTTTAAGTGAAAATTTGCAGTTTCTTTCAGAACGAAAGAATACTACTATTATAAGGGAAATTATAAAAAAGCAAAAATTGTACTGTTTTATAAACATATTTATTTATACATAAAAATAAATTAACTTTTTATAATATAATAACAAAAAATAACAGTGTTTATTCCACCCACCTACCAATTTTAAATGCAGAAGAACTGACTGTTGCAGGAAACGATCGGCCAATTCTTTTAAAGGGCATTAAAAATCTCATTTTCGAAAAAACTGCCTAATTGCAATAACAAAGTGAATATCCAAGCAAAGAAGACTTTACGAAAATCATGATCCTGAACCATTTTCAAGTCCAGTTTTAATCCTAACTCAAAAGTAAAATAGGTATATTAATAAAGTTTCTGGTTACTATAAACCAGCTATAAACTACCTACCCAAAAATGAAAAAAATTAATTGTATTAATTTGTTATGTTAGAGAGGTTCGAAATATTTTGACACTACTACTTCTACTTTTTTCTTAATAAGATAATAAATATAACTACTTACTTTTATTTTACCGGGTGTCTTTAACATATCTATCAGAGAAAGGGGCACCAATACATATAAAAATAGATGATACTGGCTCCTGCAGCAAATAAAATAACAAATAGTATAACCGAAAATTATAAGTAACAAAATATAAATACCTATATGGAACAAAGGAATTTGTTCCCTATCCATATTCATAAGTCAATAAAATGGAGAGTTTAGAAAAAAAGGTAAATCACCAAAAGAAAAATTAACAAACATGACGAAGTTTCACTCACTAAAAATCTTTGTTTTAGTGATGAGTGCTCTTTTTTTAAAACGGAAATGTGAATAACCAGAACTGCAGATACTGGAGCGATGAGAATCCGCATATTGTTTTTGAAGGACACACCCAACATCCCCAAAAGCTCAATATTTGGTGTGGCATACTGGGCGATAAAATTATAGGTCTTTTTCACGCCATTTTTCATCGACGGAAATTTGACTGGTGATGCTTATGTGGATATGCTGAACAATTTGATAGAGCCACCCCTTGTAAATGTGGTTGAAAATCAAAGAGATTTGGAAGGAAATTTAACTCTTAATGAAGACCTCATACACTTTCAGCAAGAGATGGAGCCCCTCCGCATTATTCTATTGTTACAAGGCGGTGGTTGGATATATATTATCCAAGGCAATGGATTTGCAGAAGGTGTCCAATCGAGTAGCCGCCAAGGTCACCTGATCTCACTCCTTTAGACTTTTTCTTGTGGGGTTACACTAAATCCATAGTCTAGAAGAGAAAGCCAGGTTCGTTGCAAAAATTGCAGCAGAGGATAACTGAAACATATCGATATATTCCGAGAGAGACTTTCCAAAAAGTGAGACAAGAATTTGAAAATCGTTTGTATTTTTGTATGGAACAAAACGGCTGTCATTTTGAGGAATTGTTAAAATAAATTATCATTTTAAATTTCTTTCAAATCGTCACACCTACATTTTTTATGCCCACCCTGTATGTTTGTTTTTAAGTTACTTTAGAACGAACTTAAACGTTTAACTTTGGAATAAACAATGTGATTTTTGGAATAAACAATGTGACAATGTTATTTGATATGAATTATATTTGTTTAGTTTTAACCATCTGCTGATGATGGCGACATGGTTAGCAAAACGCGCGTCTAGTATAAAAGTAAAAATGTTTTGGTGTATTGTGGTGAATTAGTGTTTCATTTGGTTGTTGTAACACTAAAGGTTCCAACCACCAACTTTAATATTCACACTGCACTTTTATTTGTTTTAAATATTAAAATACATTTTGTATTTTATCTATGTACCATATTTAATTAAATAACTCCCAATTTATTTTATTAATGTTCTAGATATAAAAGAGCAGTAAAATCTGCAGTATTTCATTAAGCATCAACCCCAACATTTATTGGTATTTATTAATGCAACTAATTAAAATGCATTTCCACTAAATATTAATTTATTTTAATAAAGTTTAAATATTTATCGAATTCCTGGCATAGTAAAATAAATTATTATTCCGATGTAAAAAATCTAGAATTAATGGAGGTGGAGCTTTTTTTGACTTGGAGTTGGAAGTATTATTATAATAAATAAAGATCAATATTTGTTTAATAACATTAAAATAGAACATAACTATAGCAATAATGCAATGCAAACATAAGGTACGTTAGTAGTTTCTGCAAACATCATACCTACAAGTAAAATTTCGGCGCAGGGGCGGCAAAATATATGTATGTCCGAAACCAGTAGTAAAAACTCTAATCACCATGCAAACATCAAACACTAAATTGTAAAATTTAGATAGAAGACGCTAGTTAGAGCGTGCGGCAGGCATTTTTAAGGAACATCGAAAATGTAAACACTGCTTTGCAGAGGCCAACGCTTTCGATCGCGGAGGCATCTAAATTGAATTCATTACAGAGTTTCTTAGCTGAGATTAGAGACAAAGTCGACGATTGCTTTAAAGAAGCAAAGATCCTTGCAGAGGCAAGCAATATTGAGCCTGTTCTCCCAGAAAAACGGACAAGAAAAGTAAAAAGATTTTTCCATGAAAACGCTGATGACGAAATTGGTACATTAATCCAAGAACAACAACTCAAAATTCAAATTTTTGAATCATTGGATAAAATAAATGAGCAATTTTCCTGAAGGTTTAATGCTATGGAAGATGTTGTCGAAGATTTTTATTTCTTTTCGGGAAAGTCAATGGCATCATTACCACTAGAAGAAATAAAAAAAAAAACATGCTGCAGATTTAGCAATTAAATATGCTAACGACTTGGATGCAACAGAGCTGTATCTTGAACTGGAAAATTTCAAGAATCACGCAAGCTATTGCTTTCAAACTTGGAAGCAGCTAGCTGTTTAGATATCTTAATATATGGAGGGTGGCAACTATGCATAGTGTGAGCATGTTCTCTTGAGCTGCAATATTGTGTAAAAGTTTAATTAAGTATCCAAACATTATAAACTAAACAGTAATCGAGTTAGTAAGTGTCGGTGTACGGATTGTGATAAAAAAAAACATTTAATTTCACCAAAGAAAACAATAATCGATTAAGCGAAATTCCTTAAATTCCTGAACCGGTGCGAAGACGCCAAACAGTGTTGTCGGAATGGCGGAAAAGGAAGTATGCGATATTTGTAACAAGACTGTAACGGACGATGACGAGGGATTGTTATGCGATAATTGCATGATATGGAAACATCGTAATTGCTTATCAATAAGTAAAAAGACCTATCAAAAGATTGGAAAATCGAAGGAAGATTGGTTGTGCAATCAATGCAAAAGTAAAGACCATGAGGCTGTTAATCCAAGGAAATCAAATGACACGGAGTCTGGATGCAATATTTCCCAAATTTTATCTAAGTCTGAACCAGACTTGAAAGATGTAATTAAAATTGTAAACGAATTATTTAATGTGATCCAGAAGCAAAATGGTACAATACAGTCACTATTATATGAAATTGGAGAAATGAAATCTCACTCCATAAAAATGACTGAAATTGAAACGCAATTGGAAGACCTGCGCAGTGAAGTTAATCACCTCAAATCATCTAATAATCAATTAGGAGAGGGACAGTCTTTTGAACCAATACTTAAAGAGTTTTATGAGCGCGAGAGGAAGAAAGCAAATACTATTATATTTGGAAAGGAAGATCGTAACTCCGAAGATGGCTCTGAAGATGATAAAAAGACGGCCGAGGAAATTATCAAACTTTCACACCAGGATTCCCCTGTTGATACTAGCACCATTAGGGTGCACCTTCTTGGAAAGTATTTTCACGGGAAAAATCGTTCATTGAGAGTGATCTGTAGCTCACCTGATGTTGCCTCTAAAGTTCTTCACAATACAAGATCAATAACAAATAACATAAGTTATAAAAGGATATCAGTGCGATCTGATAAAACGTATGCCCAACTACAAGATTTTAGAAAGGTGAAGCAGGAACTTAATGATCTCTTGGCGGCTGGAGAAACGAATCTGAAAATAATACATAGAGACGGCTTTCCATCCATTGTTACTGCAAAACCAAACTATTTAAACTAAATAGCACGTCCAACAGAAATACATTTAATTTACTAACACTAGTTTATCAAAATGTAAGAGGTTTAAATGTGCCCGGTGGTGTAGAGGTACAGGCTCTCGTCTACCAATCTCAAGGTGTGGTTTCGATTCCCACACCCGGCATTTCATCAGCCGACTATTTTTATTAAAATAAAAATAGTTTGCGGGTACGTAGGTCGACTCAGCCTTAAATGAGTACTTGGGATTCACAATCCTGAGGTAATAATAGGCGGTTGAGGGCCTGAGTGCTAGCCACATTACCTTCCTGGTATACTGAACGGCTCTAGTATAGCAAGCTGTACCTTGCTACTCCCAAGGCGTTAAACGCTATATACGGGAGCTATTATTATTATTAAGAGGTTTAAATACAAAAACTCATGAGTTCTATAAGTCCATATGCCAGACCGATCATCATGTAGTTGCACTTACTAAGACATGGCTGCAGTCGGACCTCTTATGAATTGTTTGATGATAGATTTGACGTCTATCGGGAAGATCGTAAAATTGAACTTTTAAATGTAACCAGGGGTGGAGGAGTTTTGTTGGGTGTTCGAAATCACATTCCATCGATTCGGCTCAATTTTGGTTTAATTAATGATTGTCTTCCGGCAGTGGATATATTGGGAGTAAAAATTGTACTTCCGGAATTAAAATTAAATTTAGTCTTGGTCTATTTTCCTCCTGGCTCCCCAATTGAAGATTACAGGCAGTTTTTTGACCTTTTGGAATCCTTAGATATCTTTGAAAATGATAAA